ATACATAACCCAAAATTTCAGGACACTAGGAAAAGTCCCATTCCATATTCTAGAAGCTTTGGTCGCAGATGGGTGGCTACTGTGAATGGCAGCTTCCACCTCCACTGATGGTTCTAGGCATGACAGAAGCCTGAGAAGGCAGGGGTGATTGGGAATTCAGTTACCACGAAGTTCCCTCTTCTGTAGCTCCGTTCCGCAGCCTTCTGTTCCAGAAAATCATCTTCACAGAGTAAGACATCTTTTTGGCTCTTACCCTTACCAAATGGGAAATTCTAGGAAGGCAGAAATCGTTCTTAAAAGGAACATAGGGGGCTTCCCTGGTGGCGCAGTGGTTGGGAGTCTGCCTGCCAATGCAGGGGACGCGGGTTCGTGCCCCAGTCCGGGAAGATCCCACATGTTGCGGAGCGGCTGGGCCCGTGAGCCATGGCCGCTGAGCCTGCGCGTCCGGAGCCTGTGCTCCGCAACGGGAGAGGCCACAACAGCTAGAGGCCCGCGTACCGCAAAAAAAAAAAAAAAAAGAACATAGGTATCCAGGCTCCAGGCTGACAGGACCTTAAAGGCAGCCCAAGTGATGACATCTTTCTTAGCATCATGAGAACACAGGTTTCCTTTCAGAGAGCCATTTGTCACCTTCTTCAACTTAAGTACTTTAGAAGCCCAGGTGTCCATGGCCCTATGCCAAAAAAGAAAACAAAAAGAGAGAGGTTAAAGGAGACAGACAGGATCCCTATTCTCAAGGATATTCATTAACTTTGAACAAAATGATATAAACATGGAACCAGGTGTGTACATGGATATTAGTTTAACTTGGACATAAGTAGCCAAATCCCTGCTTTTCTCTTGGCTCCTGGTGCCAAGAATGAAAGGCTTGGGGGCAGAGTGTTTAAGGCTGTTGTAGTTTGCTTCTGTTTTCACATTTGGTCGTTGTGTATCCCCGAAAGAAGACCAGCGAGTTGCTAGAGGGTTTGATTTCCTTGGTGCTGCTCCATATTCACCTATTTCTGACTTTGGCAGTAATTCCAGTGCCAATCACCAGCTTTCTATATTTACCAGCAGCTGCTTCAGTGATGTGGAAACAATTTTCTCAACAGCTGAAAAACATGAAGATAGAGACGAGGACATTTTGTTCTTTATAAAAGAGCTTAGTTGGAATGAGCATAGGAGACACAAACCATCAGCACAAATCTTTTTATCTCAGCATCTTTTCTACTTTCCCCAGCATGACATCAGGCTTAAGGAGAGTATAAAGTTTTGTCCAGAGAGAAACGAATGGGTAACCTCTGTGGAATACACTGGAATACTTTGAATCAGCTGGGCCAGTATCCTACTTTCCAGGAGGCCATCTTTGCAGATTTGCTTGATTTATGTCTTAAGGTTTGGGATGAAGGAGCCTCATCCCCAGCCTCTACTTCCAGCCCAGTTTCACCAGCTGGCTGGCTCTAGGTGGTCACACTCAGTGAATGCTTCTTCATGAAACATAACCAAGATCAGTTGTAGAATGTGTGCCGTCCGTGGAACAGTACAGGGCATGGAGGATCTGAGAGGTTCAGGACACCCCCTGTGAGGTCAGAGGCTTCCAGACTGCAAGGCACTTTGACTCCATGACTGTGAGGGATAATAAAGATTGTGAAAAACAACTACTGAAGAGTATATGCCTTGTCTATAAAACGCTCACACAATGCCTGGTTCACCAAAGCCCTCAGTGCCGAATGATCAGAGAGGTCATTATTGCACTCAAATTGTCTCAGCTGCTGTCAGAGCTCTGAGGTATTGGGCATGAATGTGCTTATAAAAACAGCAAGACAGAATCAAGAAACCTGGTTTCTAGTCCCATCGGCCCCTACCAAGGAAAGGGGAGCGCCCTTTCCTTGGCGCTCCCCATGTGGAGCACCCAACAGATACCAAGCATTCTAAGTGTTATACGAAGCACTTCACGACACAGAGTTTCTCTTCTTCCTCGTAGCAACCTGAGAAGTGGGTCAGCATTTCCCAGATGAAGAAATGAGGGGTCAGAGAGAATAACTTTTCCGAGTTAGTGCCCAAGTCTTCCTAATCCTAAAGCCAGCCCTCTCGCTGTCCCCGCACCTTTGATCTCCCTCAACCCCAGTGCTATGCAGGGGAGATACCAAACAGCTCCACTGACCTTCTTGAGCCTGACTGTCTTCAGTTGTAGAATTGAAAACCCATCTCTAAGGTTTATTTTCTGCTTTAAAAATTCTATCAACCAGCATCTTCCGTATTATTTTAAATCCTTATTGCCACCTAGTGGGCATAATCTAATCAGAAGAATGAAGAAAATATTCAGTTCGCTTGGATTAAAACCTGCCAATTCATCTTAAATCCATACTGTGCTCCTGACCTTTAAAAATTGTGTTTATGAGCAAATATCATGGCCTTCCATTTTTATCTTTATAGTAAACTACCAGATGAGTGGTCCCCTTTGAAAGACTTTTGGTGAATTGCTGGGAATCGTATAAACCCCAGCTCTTAAAAAACTATGTAACGCTTTGTGACCGTATAATACACACTCAGCTTATAATGGGCTATACTTAAAGAAATTCTAATCTGCAATATTCATAACTTGTATTGCAGATATACTTTTAACTTTATAAATATTTTGCTCAGCAATTTTTTACATTCTCCTGATAAAAAAATATCAGCTTATGGGGCTTCCCTGGTGGCGCAGTGGTTGAGAGTCCGCCTGCCGATGCAGGGGACACGGGTTCGTGCCCCGGTCCGGGAAGATCCCACGTGCCGCGGAGTGGCTGGGCCCATGAGCCATGACCGCTGAGCCTGCGCTCCGCAACGGGAGAGGCCACAACAGTGAGAGGCCCGCGTACCGCAAAAAAAAAAAAAAAAAAAAAAAAGAGTTTCTGTTATGCATAGTGTTTTACAGCTTCCTTTTTTTTTAACTCCATCTACTTTGGACATCTCTCCATGTCAGCACACAAATCTACCTCCTTCGTTTCAACGGTATGTACTATTCCATATTGACCATACCGTAATCAATGTAACCAGTTTCTCATTAACGTCCACATAGGCTATTTTCAGTTTTATTGTTACAAAAATGCGGTAGAGGATGAATATATATTCTTCAGGGGATAGACATACACTCACAGGCACATTCTTTTGCAAGTTTATTTGTAGAATAAAATCTTAGACATGAAATTGCTGCATACAAAGGTTATGTAAATACCCACTGACCAGAGGTCACCAGAAGCACACCTGTAGTCAATAAAAAAAAAAGTCAAGTGTACTTAACGAACCACAGCAAGGGAGAAAAGGAGAAAAATTGTGAGTTATCTCTGGATGACATTTAGAGGAACTTTTTATAGGATTTGGGCTTGTGCTGGGTACTGTTAGGGAAGTTTTTCTAGGAGAGAGAATTCAAGTTAGGCTAGAAATGTCATTCTTAGTCCAGGAGCAGCAGTCACAGATGTGGTCACAAAAGGGGTGTGTGTAATCATTTTGTGTACCGAGAGGCCTTGTCTGCACATTTCCTTATTCCGTGAGTGTTTTTTATGATCAGTTGGGGACATCATGAGCAACGTGCCAACAGTGCTTTCTTTCACTTTCTCAGGTACGTTGATTTTACAGAAATTGCTTTACAGAAAGGTTGTACCAATTTACAGGCAGACCTCGGAGATACTGCCTATGCGGCGGGATCAGTTCTAGACCACCACAATAAAGCAAATACAGCAATAAAATGAGTCACATGAATTTTTTTTGGTTCCCCAGTGCATATGGAAGTTATATTTACATCATTCTGTAGTCTGTTAAGTGTGCAAAACATGATGTGTAAAAAAGCAATGTACATACCTGAATTAGAAAGTACCTTATTGCTGAAAAATGCTAACCATCATCTGAGCCTTCAGCGAGACTTAGCAGGAATATCAAAGATCATTGATCACAGATCACCATAACAAACACAATAATAATGAAAAAATTGGGGAAATTGGGAGAATTACGAAAATGACACAGAGACACAAAGTGAGCAAATGTTTTTGAAAAGATGGCGCCAGTAGACTTGATTGAGGTAAGGTTGCCACAAACCTTCAATTCGCATTATATTTGAAGCACAATAAAGTGAAACACGATAAAATGGGGTACGCCTGTACATTCTTCTGGGTTCTCTTAAATATTCCATTTCCCTAACGACTATGTTTTTAATAATCAGAATAAGGGCAATTGTAACAATAGCAAATGTTTATAGAGCTCTAAGTCCTTTATTTCATTGATTCCTCATCAGAGAACTTGAGACAGGCACTAATAGCATCCTGGCTTTCACATGAGGAAACCAAGACTTAGAAAAGGCGAGAACCAACCTGGGTCACGTGACTAGCCAACATAAGCTGGGGTTCAGAACCAGGTCGTCTCATTGCAGGGTCCACACTCGCTACCATGGAGAAACACTTTCTCCTCTATCTGCTTCACAGGAGCCTGTCAGGGAGAATTGAAGGCTAAGGAATTAAAAGCCATTGAATTGATGATCACAAATGTTTGAGAGTCTGGTTTAGGCTGATAAGGAAGTAGAGTCCTGTTTACAAAAATGAGACTTAACGGGCAGCCTTCCAAGAGTCCCATACCTAGTGTTAGAGAGGCATCCAGCATGGTATGCTCAGCTACTCACATGTGCCCTCAATTAATAAAGGCCGATGAGAGCTTTCTTAAACTCACAGCCAAGACACTATAATTAAATATTCTCTGGGCCAGCTGGAGCTCAGAGGGTAGTTACATCACCCCCAAGGAAATAAACTGATGAAGGACATCCATGCCCTTGGACCCACGGAGGTTTATGACGTTCCCATCCTGTGTGAGGATGGGGCCTGCGAGTCCGCCGGGGCAGGTTTCGTGCAGGGAGAGAACGCGGAATGAAATTGTGCTTGAGTAAATATTTATTGAGTGTGTGATGGGTACACACTGGGGTTCAGAGCAGGCCTGCGTGCTTGGATTTAGCAAAACAAACGTGGAGTAACCACTGGTGGCTGCTTTTTTTCCAGATTGTGCTGGCTGTGGACGAGATATCAAGAACGGGCAGGCGCTCCTGGCCCTGGAAAAGCAGTGGCACTTGGGTTGCTTTAAATGCAAGTCCTGCGGCAAAGTCCTCACCGGGGAGTACATCAGCAAGTAAGACTGGGGCCTGGGGCGTGGATCATTTCAGCGGGGATGGGGCAGTGTTGGGCCCCTCTGTAGGCCCTGCTCTCCGGGACTCCACCCCATCCCATCAGACATAATGAAAGACATTCACATCCCAAAATCAATATGAACTTTTTGCCATAAAACTTTTGAAGAGAATTTTATTCTTCTGTTGTTGCCTACTATAAGTTTAATGAAATATTCATCATTGCCTAATGTAACAATTAATGAAGCTGACATAAGGATAGGCTGTATGTTGTAACCAATTAAGCATTTAGTAATTTCGCTAATTTTTTTTCCTATTTGGAACTAGTAAACCTTTACCCTCCTTCCAGGTCTCAGACATATTTGTAGACACCCCCCCCCAAAAAAAAAAACACTCAGGGTCTAGGCACAGAGCCCATTAGGACCACCAGGGAATAGGTTCGTTAGAGTCAGATGCTGGTATAGATAATAGAGCAGGTGAAGTTTTTGTTTTTGTTTAATGTAACCTGCAAAAACTAGTTACAGTGGTTACCTTTCAAATTAAGGAGGAGGGACTTCCTCGGTGGTCCAGTGGTTAAGACTCCACACTTCTACTGCAGTGGGCGCGGGGTTTGATCCCTGGTCAGGGAATTAAGATTCCACATGCCGTGCAACCAGGCCAAAAAAAAAAAAAAAATTAAGGAGGGAAGAATGAGCATGGAGCGGGGGGAGGGTCCACTGGCAGTGAGGGAAAATTTTCCCCCATCCACTTTAAAAAATGGTCTCCAACCAGCACCTATTCAGAACAATTTTAATGAATTTAACTCCTGAATATAGTGAAACAAACAAAAGAAGTAGCTTAGGCCCCACCCCCTAGAAATCCAATTCTGCAGGTCTGGGGTGAAGCAAACACCAGTATTAGAAAGGGAGAAACTGCACAGGTGATTCTGATGCACAGCCCAAGTAAGAAGAGAGAAATGCTCGGCCTTTGACACTGACGGCTGTGCGGCGCTAGGTAACTGGGCTGTCTGAAGTGGCACGTTTTAACTCTTCCATGTGATGGCACATAGATCATGGTATTCTTTTTTTTTTTTTTTTTTTTTTTTTTTTGCGGTACGCGGGCCTCTCACTGTTGTGGCCTCTCCCGTTGCGGAGCACAGGCTCCGGACGCGCAGGCTCAGCGGCCATGGCTCACGGGCCCAGCCGCTCCGCGGCATGTGGGATCTTCCCGGACTGGGGCACGAACCCGCATCCCTTGCATTGGCAGGCGGACTCTCAACCACTGCGCCACCAGGGAAGCCCAGAACATGGTATTCTTCACTGTGTCCCGAGGGAAATGAAGGAGGTTGCAGGAGGCTGAGTGAGAGGCCCTGGACCCCTAGGGCCCCTGAGGGCTAAGGGGATGGCGTCTCCATGCTGTTGGGACGCATATGAGTCAGTGAGCTGGTGGGGGTTGAGGAAGAGGGACCCTGGGACCACAGCTGAAGCCCATCTGGCCTGGTGCTGCGAGAGAGAGCGACTCCAGGTTTCGCTAGTTAGGTCTGAGGCAGTCCAGCAATCAGCAGCCGTAACCATTCGGCTGTTACTTCCACGCGGCTTGGAGAACCTCAGCGTTCTCTCTGGATCGTTTGGTTTTGTGGGCTTTGACCCTGTCTGACCAGGTCTCCAGACATGTGAGTGCTGGGTGGGAGAGAAACAGCTTCTGCTACCGTTCTGTGCAGGAGGGCGGAGAGAAATGGGGTCTGGGTGTCTTTCCTGCCCTCGGCCTTCTCGGGAGCTGACGCTCTCTGTCCTGCAGGGATGGCGCTCCGTATTGCGAAAAGGACTACCAGGGTCTCTTCGGGGTGAAATGTGAAGCCTGCCACCAGTTTATCACTGGCAAGGTCCTGGAGGTAAGTGACAGATGGGCTTCCCTCGAAGCTACCGTCATCTTCCGCGAGGCCCTGGAAAATACACGGGGGCCTCTTTTTCCATTTTTTTCCATCTTTTTCTCACATGTGGAGGAAAGAGTAGTTGTAGATGACGAGTCGCTTAGAGAACTACTGTGTGGTACTGTCTTCTCAGGCAGTGCCTACTGAGTGCTCGTGTGGAAATTGGAAGGATGGGGAATTTGAGGGAGAAAAAGAATGAAAAAGCGTCTGTTAGGAATTATGTAGTAGGAAAGGTTATATTAAACTGTTCTTTTGTTTAGAAGTTAGAAAAGAGGAAATGAAGAGCGTGCTAGAGCCGTGTGTGTGGGTGGTACACCTGTGCGTATGTGTGCCCGCATGTCCGTGTGTGCGTGTACACGTGTGCGCTCTTGTGTGTATACGTGGGAGTGTACAGACTCACGGAGCAGAGGCTCCAAATTGAGGCTAAGAGAAGAAAGAGTCATTAGAGGTGAGGGCGTAGACTTCCCCACCCTTAGAAAACCACATCCTGTGTGACCCAGAACGCCCTGTGGTCCAGGCTGAGCCGAAGCCTGTCAAGTTCAGGTGTGACTGCCTCGCACCAGGGAGCTTGGTTCCTGCTTTCTCAGCAGCGGCCCCACCAGCTTCTGCCTCTGGGCTGAGCCGAGCTCCTCCTGGGCCGGGGCCACCTGTGGACCTGAGGTCAGAGGTCAGAGAGTCACTGCCCGGCTTCTCATAGGCCTGTGGGGTGTTAACACACTCCCATGGAAAAAGCAGAGATTGCCTCACACCCGTCCCACGTCTCAGGGTGGAGAATGTGCACTGGGCACTGAGTCAGGATGCCTGGTGGAGTCCTTGGAAGGTAGCTGAACAACTTGTCACATGGCTTCAGCAGATACCAGGGCACTGAATCCACTTCACCTCATTCAAACTTCCCAACAGGCTATGTTTCAGGGACCCAGGACTGAATCCGAGAGTCCCCCAAGGTGTCACTGGGCAGCTTCTGTGGGATTTCACCAAGTTCGGGGTAGCCTTCCTAATCCCACAGCAAGCTCTGCAATGCCTTCCTGTCCGTGAAGTGCAGAGAGGGGCTGACGTTGGCTCTGTGCTGAGATCTAGTCCAGCTAATTGGATTTGGGAGATAAGGAAGTGCGTGTTGTCTAAGCGGTTGCCTCTGACTCAGGGGAAGAGTGTTTCAGGAAGAAGGAACAGTGGTTGCCTCTGACTCAGGGGAAGGGTGTTTCAGGAAGAAGGAACAGCAATGGCAGAGGCTCAGAGGCAAGCACAAGCACAGCATACCCAAGAAACAAAGTCATTTGGGCAGGAGCACGGCTGAGAGAGATGATGCTGGAGGAATGGGAGGGGCCCGAGGATGAGGACCTCGAAAGTCACATTCAGGAGTTTGGCTTTACCCTAAGAGTGGTGCGAAGCGTTGAAGTGATTGTGGCTAGAGTGTCATGTGGCTGGATCAGACTGTTGTGTGAAGAATAGGTGGGTGTCCTCAAATGCATGCGTGTGCCCCCATGTTCACGGCAGCTCTGCTCCCACCAGGCAGAAGGGAAAACAGCCCACGAGTCCATGAATGGATGGATAAACACAATGTAGTATATATAGACAATGGGATATCGTTCAGCCTTTAAAAGGAAGGAGTTCTGACACAGGCTACAACATGCATGAACCTTGAAAACATTATGCCAAGTGGTAGAAGCCGGTCATGAACGACCACACACACTGTATGCTTCCATTTAGATGAAATATCCAGAGGAGATCGATCCATAGGGAGAGAAAGCAGATTGGTGGTTGCCCGGAGTTGGGGGTAGGGACGGGGGATGGGGAGTGTCTGCTTATTGGTACCCCCTTGGGGCGATGAAAATGTTTTGGAACTAGATAGAGATGGTGGTTGCACAACCTTGTGAATGTCCTAAACGTCACAGAATTGTTCCCTTTAAAATGGTTAATTTTATGTTATGTGAATTTCACCTCAATTTTAAAAAGAAATGGTGGAGGGCTTCCCTGGTGGCGCAATGGTTGGGAGTCTGCCTGCCGATGCAGGGGACACGGGTTCGTGCCCCGGTCCAGGAAGATCCCACATGCCACGGAGCGGCTGGGCCCGTAAGCCATGGCCGCTGAGCCTGCGCGTCCGGAGCCTGTGCTCCGCAATGGGAGAGGCCACAGCAGTGAGAGGCCCGCGTACTGCAAAAAAAAAAAAAAAAAAAAAAAAGAAATGGTGGAGACAGGGAGGCCAGTTTGGAGAGCTTTGGACACCAAACAGTGGTGGCACTAGCTGGAGTGACACCTGAGAAGTAGATGCCCACCACCACACACACACAGCTGGGGGACGAGGAGGAGTTTTCATGGCCTCTCCAATAAGGCTTTTATTGGCAGCCCAAGGATACTTCAAGGCTGGGTTTGGGGCCCAGGATGATGCACATCCCTAGGAAAGCTATTGGAGAAGATGCGTGTGACCCATCCAGGGGGTAGCTTAAAGTCCAGCCGTCTCATCCCAAGACACAAGGTACAGTAGTCCTCGCCTGTCCTCTGAATGTGCCCCCCGTCCCTCCACAGAGCGAGGAGCCCTGAGTGGGGCCTTACAGCATTTCCTTGGCTTCCCAGGTTTGATCTGCTGCACAGGTCTGAAATAAACCTGTAGAGTTGGGAACAATTAGGAAATTTCATCTTAAAACAAGATGGAATGTAGACTTACTGTGACGAACCATGTGTAAAAATACCGAATCACTATGTTGTACTAAAACTAATAGAATATTGTATGTCGATTCTAATTCAATAATAAACAAATAACTAAAACACCAGAACTTATTTCTAAGATGTTTAGCTATAGCAAGAGAGGCGGGAAGACAGTGAACGCAGCCCCCAGCTTGAGCACCACATTTGTAGACAGCGTGGATGGAAGCAGCTGTCTCCTCAGGCCAGATGTGGGACTGTGATCCCCCAAAAGAGTTGGGGAGGCAGAAGGGCTGGTGAGCGGTGTTGATCATCTTCAGATTTAGTTCAACAGCTGTAGGAAGGAATCTCTACAGTAGAACTAGATGCAAGAGCTTGCTGTTTTGAAGACACATCTGCTTACTCTGGTTTCTCCCTGGAGACCCGAGTATTCCAGCGTTTGCAGGGGCTGCGAGGGCCCCTCACCCCATTGGCTTCAGGCCTCCATGAGGGCCACTGATGAGGACGAAGCCTGGGATGCTTTCCACACAGACCCGCAGAGGTGGGGCTTCTGGGAGCAGGTTGCAGTGGGGTTCCGGGCAGATTCAAGACCCACCCAGTGGGTGTGCCATCCCCCTCAGATGGGTGTGTGATCTAGAAAAATGTCCTGTACAGTGAGCAGCTGACATGTGACAGCTCGTGAGTCAGCCTGGCTGGGTTCCCAGCACAAAACCCTGCCCTCCTCCCTCTGCCTTTTATTCTCTGACCCACTGTAGGTAAAGCATGATGATTCTGGATTTGTTGTAAATACTGTAATCCTTGCTTTTTGGGGTTTGGTTTTTTTTTTTCTGTTTTTAAAATTATGGTAAAATCCACATAACGTAAAATGTACCATCTTAACCATTTTTAAGTGTATAGTTCAGAGTATTACATAGATTCCTAACGTTGTGCAGCCATCACCACCATCCATCTCCACAACGCTTTATGACTTTGAAATCTGTTCTTGTTAAACAGTGACTCCCCATTCCCCTCTCCCCACAGTCCTTGGCGGTGACCACTCTACTTTCTGTCTCTATGAATTTGACTACTCTGAGTATCTCATATAGGTGGAATCATACAGTATTTGTGTTTTCCACCGATGGGCTTATTTCACTTAGTATAATGTCCTCGAGGTTCGTCCGTGTTGCAGCATGTGACAGTATTTCCTTCCTTTTTCAGGCCAAATAATATTCCATTGTATGGATGTACCACAGTTTGCCTATCCATTCTGTGACCTTTGATTTTTTTTGGTTATGTTTCTGATTGATTTTATCCACAGAGATTATAAATGTATTATTAGTTCCCTGTGTCTTTTGTAACAGTGGTGGCTTAAAACCATGGAAACTTATTGTCTCACAGTTCTGGAGGCCAGAAGTCCCAAACTGAGGTGCTGGCAGGGGCTGTGCTCCCTCCAAAGGCTAGGGGAGGATCCTTCCCTGCCTATTCCAGCTCCTAGTGGCTGTGGCTACGTAACCCTCATCCCTGTCTCCATCTCCACAGAGCCTTCCCCTCTGTGTCCTCTCCTCTCTGTGTCAAACCTCCCTCTGCCTTTCTTTTAGAAGGTCACTTGTCATTGGATTTGAGGTCCCCCTGGATCATTCAGGATGATTCCCTCCTCTCAAGATCCTTAGCTTAATTACATCTGTAAAGACTCTTTTTCCAAACATTCACAGGTTCCAGAGATTTGATGTGGATATATCTTTGGGGGGGCCACCAGTCCAGTAAACCTGGGAAATTATGCAAGTATCATCCTGGTGAAGGCCGGAGCTTTGGTGTGGTTTTAATTGAACCCTTGCTGAGCATCGGAGGTGTCCTAAGGCCACTTCTCTGGGTGTGGTTTTACCTGAGATACCACCAGACACTGGAGGGAGCTTTGAGAAGGAGAAGGGTCCCGGACAATGGTCAAGAAGCTCCAGGCTCAGCTATGTCACTGATTCCTGAGTAATTTTGATCAGATCATTTAGCCTCTTTGAGACTATCTTCACTTCACAGGTAAAAAGGAGTGGCATGTAACCTCTGAAACTCTACCCTGTTCTAAACTTCTCTCTCCGTTATTCCTTAATATCATAAACTCTACCCATTACATTGGCTTGAGGGAGTGGGGAGGAGAGCTTCATGTGTTTTAATGAAAAGGGCTCCAGGGGATGGGAAATCGGGGATTTACTCTTGGATCTGGAACTCACAGCTTGTGACCTTGGGCAACTCACTCAATTTCTTTGAGCCTCAGTTTTTTCTTTAAATACAAGCATTAAAAATATATATGTAAATCCAAGACTTGGACCACTTGACTCCTAAAGTTACTT